AAAGATTGGAGTTCATCATTTTCCATGGGAGACCTAATTAGACTGATGGCCGTGAGGGACTTGTAAAAGGATGATGGGAGGGGAAGCTGTAAAATGAAGTGTGGATTAAAACACAAAAACCACCTCCTGAGTTTGGCTAGTGACCTATGGGAAAAGGAGAGAACTTGGATGCTTGTTAAATAACATCCCTTATAAAGACTGTTTTCTGCCCTCAGAGGCAATCCAGAAGGATTCACAGACTGAGCTGACTATTAGAGATGAGATTCTGTTGAAAGCTCACCCTGATTTGTCAGTTATACTGTAGGACTGCTGCACTGGAGCTACTTGGGAAATTGCTTCATACTCTTAATTTAATTAAAGAAGCTTCCTTTGTTTTCTGTCACCTGCATTTCTAGATCAATATTTAGCTTTAATTCAATGTACTTCTTTGTTTGTGAGTAAAGTACTCTGATGTTTCTTCCATTTTAATTTTACAGTGCCCTCAGTATTCTTATCTGTTGAGACAAATTAAACCAATTAGTCCTTCAGTGTCCCTGTACATGCCTGTTTTCACATTTTGGCCTGCAGAACTGACAGTAATGATTACAATATTTTAATCACAGTTGAGCAGTGCCAGTGGTTCTGATCTTTTCTTACCAGAGACTCTAGCTCATCACTCTGTTACATTTCCTTACATTTTCAGTGCTCATTTATTTCCAACAAGTGATCACAAAGAAATCTCCCATAGCGTCTCTCTTTTTGTTTCTTTCTTTAATGATGTGAGTTGTGGTCTTCATTCTCCATTACCTAGTATTAAATTCTATTTTTTCTAGTATATCTGGTATAAACTGAGAAGATACTGGTTGTCACTGGTGATGCTGATGGTAAAACTCAAGCCACAGAGGGAACTAGACCTGGATTTTGAAGGGTTCTCTGTGAGGTGGACCTGGAAAACCTGTAATTTCATCAGGCTACAGGAGGGCATCTTCAAGAGGTCAAACTCTACTCAGTACTGATTACCGTAGTTTCTTAATACAAGAAATTAATCCTGGATGACAAGAAGCATTAGTACTGCTGTGGGAGAATATGGTGGTAGATCAGTATGTCTTGCAGGGGCAATATTTTGAGAGCGAGACTAGAATTTTTGGCAGAAAATGTGAAACATAGCAATGAAGTTGAAGGCCTCCAGTATCTCAGAAGAGCTTGCTTTGTGCTTGAGAAAAAGCAGACAAGTCCAGGAAGAAAGATTTTTTGAATTTAAAGAGAAATAATGGAACATACAGATTTCTCTGCTCTTTGAATAGAGGTGCCAACTCATTTGAATGCGTATGCTTCCACCCATATTTTTATCACTTATTTACATGCATAGGCACACACTTGCAGCTATGCATCTGTGTTTAAAAATGCGCACAAAAGCCATGTATGACTCCGAGCTTGTTTTTGTTAATATATATATCAGGCCAGCCAGACAAATAGCAATAATATTTCTCCCACTTGCTCATTCTTGGATGTCTCATTTACATATTTATGCAGCTCCTATTTTCCTTTTTAAAATAAAGCCCTATGAAATGATTTGTCTAGGCTTTCACAAGGACACAAATCACCGAGCTTCTGAATTTTTGATTAATTCTATCCACTTCATTTTTGCAATTCTGGACTTCCTGAATGTGGGGCTATGCCATCATTCTTTTGCCTTCAGCAAAGGCACAACAGCTCCAGAATGAACTCTTAATTATGGCCAGCATTTATGTCAACACTTCCCATTAGAAAACAAAAATTGATTGAACATCAGCTTTTTTATATTTATCTTGTAGAGCTGACTTACTGTACTATCATTCTAAGTTACCTAACAGAAACAGGAATAAAATGGGATGAGTTTTGCATTGTTTTAATTTGTTTGTTAATTTTATTTAAAACAACAAACAGATCACAAAACTGCTAGAAGAAGAAGAAGAAGAAAAGAAATGGAACTAATCAAAACAGGCTGTAACTTAAAGCCCATGGGTACATTCAGAGGATTCATTACACAGGCACATCACCGCGCAGTTGTGACCTGTGTGCTCTTTCTATCTGCTTTGTACTCGGTTCTCCTGTGCTTTATATAGACTGAAAGACCTACAAGGAAAGAGTTATATCCTGGATTGTGGGACTGCCTTTGTGCTATGCCTCCAACAGCAAAACACATGCTTGTACCAACATCAGATTATACCAAGAGGTGTAAATCCAGCTCAGCTATCAAAGGAAGGATAAACCCAAAATAGAAAATAAATTAGTGGCCTAGCACAAATCTTCCCACTTCAGCACTAGTGCCGGATATAAATTTTCTGGTGGAAAAAAATAAGCTTTTCTGGAAGATCCCAGCATTTGAGCATGAAGTACTTAACCTGAAACATCTTGGGTTTTTTCTGAGTTTTCAAAGAATACACAGATAATCATTGCCCTATGACCAGGGAACCAAGGATGGGATTTACTCCTGCTTTTATAGCCCTCCCTAATGGAGGATTATAGAGAAAGACAGAGCCAGACTAACCCCAAGTGAAAGGATCTCCTGCTGCACCATAAAAGGACAAGGGGCAACAGTTAGCAGTTGTATCAAGGGAAATTCTGTTTGCATGTAAGGATGCTTTTTTTTCCACCCCAGTGAGAGTATTGCCCAGAGAGGCAATGAAATCTCCAGCCGTGGATATTTCAAAACTCAACTGGATGAGGGCTTCAGCGACCTGACCTAACTTTGAAATTAGCCCTGCTCTGAGTGGATGTTGGAGCTCCAGACTAGCCTCAATCATTCAGTGTCTCCTTGACTTCAGAGAGATGAAATACTGATATTTCCACTTGATTTAGTTAACCGAGACATCCTTTATAATCAGTGAAAAGAAAGTGGCTGCTACTCATTTAATCCTAAACTATTTAGGTCTGATGAATTGCATCTAGAAGGGCCTATTTCTTTCCATTGGCTGCAAAAGGACTCGAAGCCACCTGCCTCAGGTGTGGGCACCTACATGGCGGACAACTGCATTTAGGTAAGAAGATCAACATGTATTTTACCTCCTGAAAAGACATTTTGGCAATGGGGATCCAGAACTCACAGACTGCTTGGCCTCAGAGGAACTCAGTGGGACGTGGGAACCGTGGAAGCTTTCAGCAGATGCTCAGTGAAACTCATATTCTCACTTAGATATTCTGAATATTCATTTTTGATATGTATATAATGATAGATCCCAACAGGCTCTGCAAACGGCCTTTTCTTGAACAAATTCAAATAAAACTGATGTTTTAAGAATTTGGGTGAGATGGTGCATACTCTGAGGAGTTTCTGGTTTGGTTTCAGTCTCATTCAAACCAAAAGAGTTTTAGAACACAGTTCTCATGAAATTCTACTTTTTGGGAAACCTGCAGTGCCCAAGTGAGGGTCAAATACTGAAAAGGGGTTCTTGAAGCTGTAGTATTCAAAATGGAGTAAAATGATTTGTATGTTAGTCCCGCTACCAGGTCGGCAAGAGAGGGAAACTGAGAATAAGAAATATTTGCATTGTGGTCAATCTGTGGGCCTGACTGAGAACATAAAAGCTAAAGTAGAAGGATGGCCCTGATTTGCACATGGCTGAAAAAAGTCATTATATTTAGAGATGTATTTCCAGTGTAGTGCAAAGAAGGGTAGAGAGTAAGTCCCTTTACCTGACAGATACCATGCTGAACGTGTGGCCTCCACCTGTCACCTCTGAAAAGCCATTTAGAGGACCTTTTTAACCAAGCTGTTGTGAAGGGTAAAGTTATTTTCTGCAGCGGAGGGACACTCTGCCAAGAGGGGGCAGAGTCCTTTTACTGCCTTTCCTCTGATGTCTGTTTGGACTCTGATAAACAGAGACTCAGCATTCACCAAGACAACGACAGTAACAGGCATTTTTTGTCAGCACCTGGGACCAAAGCCATTAAGATACTTTTTTTTTTTTTTAGGAGGGACCAATATGTCTCCCACAACTGTACACACAGTTTTAATTAAGATGTGATGTTTACTACCATCTTTCTGAGCCAGAACAGATGTTGCGCTCCAGCGAGAGGCTCTTCCAAGACGACTGCAGAATTCAGTGACATATGGAAATTAATGGGATTTTTGTGGTCAAATTTATCTCAGCGTCGCTTGCCATGAGGAGGTCTTGATTTGTGAGTACAGCCTTTGGGGCTCTTCCACCACATCAGTCCTATAGTGTTACTAAAAGTAATGATAAAACCGCTTCTCTCAAAGTGCTCAGAAACAGTAGTGACTGTAAATAACACCTCTGAGTGGTGAAAAAAACATCTTTATGCCAATAAGCGAACGTAGGGCTACAAAGATGATTCAAGGATTGGAGCATCTCCCTTATGAGGAGAGACTGAGAGAGCTGGGACTCTTTAGTCTGGAGAAGAGAAGGCTGAGGGGAGACCTTATCAACGCCTACAAGTATCTCAAGGGAGGGTTGAAGGAGGAGGGAGCCAGACTCTTTTCAGTGGTTCCCACCGAGAGGACGAGGGGCAACGGGCACAAGTTGGAACATAAGAGGTTCCACTCAAATACGAGGAGGGGGACGGAACCCTGGAACAGGCTGCCCAGGGAGGTTGTGGAGTCCCCTTCTTTGGAGATTTTCAAAACCCGCCTGGATGCAGTCCTGAGTAACATGCTCTAGCTCTAGGCAATCCTGCTTCAGCAGGGGAGTTGGACTAGATGATCTCTATGGTCCCTTCCAACTCTAGAAATTCAGTGAGGTGAAGAGAAGTTGGCTTGCCCGAAGTGTCGGAACAAGCTGGTAGGAGCAGGGCCAATAGCCTTGACCAATATTTGACCGTGGGTGGATGAGAAACCATGCACTTCCCACTGGTGGAAGGGGCTGAGACCTCTGCGGGAGGCCAAGGCACCACGCTCTGTATCCTTTGTTCCCTACGTGGTCAGCCTGCACCAAAAAGCCTACGCTTTTGCTCAGCCTGGCAGCCTCAGTGTTGGTAGGATCACTGCCAGCTGTGATCTAAAAGCTGGGGACCACGTCCACATGGCGCTGAGTCCCAGCTCCGCCATCCTGCCTGCCACCAGGATTCCTCTTGGAGGACATCTGTCCTGGATACGTGGGTCGGGGTCTTCTCAGAGCACAGGTAGCATCAGCATGCGTGCACAACATACCCTGTACCTTGGGAAACCTGCCAAAAGCAGAGAGAATTTGGCTTCTCCTCTGTGCAGACTCTGCACTGCAGGAGAAAACATTTTATGGAGTTAATAAGAACAGAGTTTGGCCCCGGTGATTCTGCAGCAGACAAATGTCAAACGCGTAAAACTAAAGGAGCACTTGTTTTGAAGACAGATCAGCTGCAAAAATGAATTGGCTTTGCTTTCCAGATCCTCCTACGAGTCCCCAGAATAGTTGGTGAGGTTTGCAGTTACACCACCCTATTTCTGAGTGTGTTTTCCTCTCTTTTGTGCTGGCCTAAAAAAAAAAAAAAAAGAAAAAAGAAAAAAAAAAGTCTTTCTCTGCAACGAGAGAGACAAGAGGCTCCCTGCATTTCATGGGGTTAAAATGAAAAGGGGAGTGTATACCTACAGGTAGGGCTGTTTTCACAGCTACAAGCATCTCCATCGCGGGATAAAGAGGGGTTTTGTAAATAGCCTGGTGTTCCTGTATTGACATTTCCTCCGCGGGCAGCGCTCCGGCTTTTGTGCGGGCGCCTGGCACTCGCACACAGCTCCGCTCTGTTGTGGAGAGCCAGGCATGCGTGAGCTGATCGCTGGAGACAAGAGAGGGAAAAGGGGGGACCTGGGCGAAGACGAGTCAGTTGGGGACAGGGAACACTGCGTCTTTTGTGGAGCGCTGCTAAGAGGGAGAGGGAGGCGACAGCAATGCTCGGGCAGCATCCCCAGGGCTTCTCCCCCTCACCCCCCCCAGATCCCCGCTCCCCAAACCTGCTGGAGCCTGGTGAAAACGTGCAGCAGGAAAATGAAAGCCGTGGGGGTGAAATATAACTCCCGTGCAATTGTGGAATACGAGTCCTGGGGTGGAAGGTGGCGGTCGGGGAGCCGAGGGGGGGTTGAAAAACATCACGCCGTCGCTGCTATGGAAACCAAATCCTCCCCATCACGGGGAGGAGATGTGCCAAAATCCTGGCCAGCCTGGCTGCCACTCACATCACAAGGCAAATTCCTCCCCCCCCCCCTTCTCCACACTCTCCTAAAGACCTTAACGGTTTTGAGGCCTGGTGTACAATAATGAAGGGTTACGAAGCCGCAACAGTGTTCGACCAACCTTCTCTGGCAAAATACATGAAGGTCTTCCTCTGAGAAATGTCAGAGGCTTTCTAGTTATTATTTGCCGTTGCAGAAATGTGCAGATTTTTTTGTTCCCCACCCCCCCCTGAATCAGATGGAGAAAAAAAATAAAAGAAGGGGTTTAGAGGGATCACCTGTGTTTTGTGTCTCCCCCCAGGGCTTTTTCCACTGCCGAGGTTGGATGAAAGATACTGGCTGGAGAATTGGTTTTGGAGTGGGGCTCCTGGGTACAAGTAATCTAGAGGAGGAAAACATGCTTCCTACCCGTGTTATTTCTTCCATGGCCGTGTGTGAGGAAATGAGAGCAGGGTTTGCTTGGGGAGGCGAGGGGGAGCGAGGACCGAGAAAGGGAAAGGAAGAGAAAAAAGGGTGATAAGGGCTGAGCAGGCCTCTCATTAACTTCCCTTTCTGTGCCTGCGCCAAGCTGTGGGGTATGAAAAGCAATTGCCCTCCAAGCCCTGGATATAGAAATATCTTTCTATTTTTTTTTACACACAGATTCACAGATTCGACAGACTTGTAAGGGACCTCTAGAGATCATCTAATCCAACTCCCCTGCTAAAGCAGGATTGCCTAGAGCACATTACTCAGGACTGCATCCAGGCGGGTCTTGAAGATCTCCAGAGAAGGGGACTCCATGACCTCCCTGGGCAGCCTGCTCCAGTGCTCTGTCACCCTCACCGTAAAGAAGTTCTTCCTCATTTTTGAGTGGAACTTCCTATGTTCCAGCTTGTGCCCATTGTCCCTTGGAAACCACTGAAGAGTCTGGCTCCATCCTCCTTCAACCCACCCTTTAGGAACTTATAAACATAAATGAGGTCTCCCCTCAGTCTTCTCTTCTCGAGGCTAAAGAGCCCCAGCTCTTTGAGCCTTTTGTCTTAAGGGAGGTGCTCTAATCCCTTAATCATCTTGGTTGCCCTACGCTGGACTCTCTCCAGTAGTTCCCTGTCCCTCTTGAACTGGGGACCCCAGAACTGGACACAGTATTCCAGTTGTGGCCTCACCAGTGCAAAGTAGACGGGGAGAGAAGCAGCTGTGCTCATTCCAGTGTGAGTGTTCATGGGAGTTTTGTATTCATCACTTTTCTTGTATCGGAGGTGTGCTGCTCAGTGGGTTACCACAGATAGGAAAAGCCAGTAGCCATATATATTTACTGCACCATACATGTACCAACCCTGTGTTTCAGAGAAACCTCGTAAACAGGCTAATCTGCAAGTACTTCAGTAGAGGCTATGACATAAAATGAGCATGGCAGAGCTTGAGAACCCTGTGCAAAAAGGAGTTCTGGTACCTGCCAGGATGAGGACAGGAGTTTCTGCTGAATTCCTCAGGAGGTAAAAGAACATTCCTTATATTAGGAGCCAAAGAGCCAGTTACCGCACCAGTGTCATGGGATGGAAATTGGGAAGACACATCAGGGAGGTATGTGTATCCTTTTATTATTCCCTTTGTATCCATAATTAGCTGCTGTTGGAAAGCCTGGGCGTGACAGGCTCATCGTAGCTGAATACAGCTGTTCTGCTCATCTGACACAGTTCCCTCTGCGAGGTATAGCCCCAGTGAACCAGTCATAGGTATATTATTATGAATTACCTGCAGGTATTTACAGGATTTTGACCTGGTTGAGGTTTACAGGGCTTCTGCATTGGTCTAGCTCTTTGGATATCAGCAGAGATAACCCATTTATGTTGTTGTGAACACCAGTATCAACCCTGTTTACTGCGACCAAAAGTTTCTGGGGGCACGCTGGCGGGCCTGTGGTACATCTTATAACACTGCAGAGTATTTTAACCAATGCTAACAAAAAAAAAAAAGAAAAAAGAAAAAGCATCTGAAGACATAAAGAGAAACCTGGCCAAGTCCCAGGAGAGGGACTGGAGCTGGGAGGAATTTCACTGCTCTAACGATCAACATTTTCTTCGAAGAAGGAAGCAGGAAGAATGTGAAGCATTTGTCCTATCTGCATCGTTCTGTGACAAGCGATTCACCCTCTGCTATGAGCCCATTTCAGTTACAGTCAAACTCCTCCATGCCTCACTTAAATGATTTTCAGTGAAAGGTCAGGAGGGGGTGGGCACCGGAGCAGCTAATTCAGCAATTGTACAGTACCCGCTCTTAGATTCTTGGGGTTTTATTCTGTATTAAAAATAAGAAGCTGTTGTTTACTCCAGGATTACTGAATGGCCTCTATTCCCATGATACCTAGAGGAGGTTGACAATTATTCTTGCTGGGTTCTCCCTGGAGCTATTTTCTTTGCTGGCAGGGAGGAAATTGTTCATGTTTCGTTTGTGCTACCGTTGTTCCAGCTGCCAGGGCAGGAATGTTTGTCGGCCAGCCCGCATCGGTGGCAGTAGCTCCCCTTCAGACCTGCCATCTGTTAGCGTTATTCCTATTATCATCTGTGCAATGGATGTCCCTCCGCGCCAGGCACGGCTCCAGCGTGTCAGAAACGGCAGAGGGGACCCTGTGGAACCAGGTACAAGAGGCTGGAGAAGGGGACTTGTCTGCTCCAGACCCGTAGGAAAGGTGGGAACAGTGTCTTGAACTGCATCCTCCTGTCCCCGGCCCCTCTTGGTTTGTTACTGAAATGCCTCCTTAAATATCCACCATAAATACCAGCTGCAGCACAACATAAGGGTCTGCCGGTCCCCGGTTTACAAAACAAGGCTTCTTATAAACATCCTCATTCCAAATCCTTGGATCATCTGGCAAGACAGAAAAAGGGGAGGAATTTTCATTGCATTTCACCCCGTTCTTAGCCGACGGGGATCCTCTGCAACACGGGGTCCTCGCTGCTGCAAAGGGGATTTTTTTGGTGACTCCAGGGGCTCCCGCAATGAGGCCTGGATTTTTCAGACGCTGCAGTCTCTGCTTGGGCCCCCACTGGAAGAAATAAGACCCACCCCAGCCCTCAACCAGCCCTTGGCACCTTGAGTGCCGGTGCCCAGCTGTGTCCTTCCAGCCCGGCCCCTGCTGAACCCCCAGTCCGGAGGGCAACACCTGTCATTTCACCCCCCATCGGTGTCCCCCCTCCCCGTTCTCTTTGTCCGGAGCCGGGGAGGCTGCCAGGGCCGGGGCTCTCACCCCGCGGAACCTGCAGTGCCGGAGCTGCACCACGGAGCGGCGCCGTCCGCCCGGCCACGCGGGGCGCGCCCGGGGACATCACCCACCGCCGCCCGGGGACATCAACACCCACCCGGGGACATCACCCGCCGCCGCCCGGGGACATCAGCACCCACCCGGCGACATCAGCACCCACCCGGGGACATCAACACCCACCCGGGGACATCACCCGCCACCGCCCGGGGACATCAGCACCCACCCGGGGACACCAACACCCACCCGGGGACATCACCCGCCACCGCCCGGGGACATCAGCACCCACCCGGGGACATCACCCGCCACCGCCCGGGGACATCAGCACCCACCCGGGGACATCACCCGCCACCGCCCGGGGACATCAGCACCCACCCGGGGACATCACCCGCCACCGCCCGGGGACATCAGCACCCACCCGGGGACATCACCCGCCACCGCCCGGGGACATCAGCACCCACCCGGGGACATCACCCGCCACCGCCCGGGGACATCAGCACCCACCCGGGGACATCACCCGCCACCGCCCGGGGACATCAGCACCCACCCGGGGACATCACCCGCCACCGCCCGGGGACATCAACGCCCACCCGTGGACAACAACACCCACCCAGGGACATCACCCGCCACTGCTCGGGGACATCCCCTGCGACCACCTGGCAACATCAACGCCCACCCGTGGACAACAACACCCACCCAGGGACATCACCCATGCACACCCATGGACCGCCCACAGGGCTGCTTCGAGCTGGGAGGGGGTGGTTGTGCAGGTGACCCCACACCTCAGTTAGGGACACACACACCCCCCTGATAAAGAACATTTCACCTAAAACTCAGCCCCGAAAGTCATGGGGCTCCACACCCAAGTGGATGAACCATGAGTGTTTGCATCACGGGTGTCCGTGAAGGGTGGGTTGGTAACTCGAAGGGCTGCTGCGCCGTTCGGGCTTGTGTCCAAACACGGCACCAATCGTCAGGGAGTTTTTCATCATTTAGACTTGATAGGAAGTGTTTTGTTGTTTTGTTTTTTTTTCCCCTCCTGTCTTGTTTTTGTTTTTGAAATGACATTTGTGCCTCCAGATGTTCAAGTGATTCAATATTAAATTGTTCTCAACAACCCTGTCTTTTTATTTTTTCTTCTTTTTTTTTTTTTTGTGGAGATGAAACTTAGCTGCAGAAGTTTTCAGCTTTAAAATAATTCAGTGGATACTGTTTGCCATGCTCTGTACAACATTTCTGGCAAACAGCTTTATATGGGTCTATATCTAAATCATGTCTAGTTTTCTAGTTTCGCTTTCTGAAAATTATGGCTATTTTTTCACCTGGAAATCTGGGTATTTGATGATTAGCAGTTATGTTTTTAAGCTAATTTAATAAGTCTTAGGAAGGATATAAAAAATAAACTGGTAAAAAAGGAAACATTTCAAATCCTGTCAAACAGAAATGGGATCTGCACTTTCCATTAGTTCAGTTCCTTGATTTTTTGACCGCACATCATCCCAATAACCCTCCCAGTCCTGATGTGAGCACTGCTGTGGCTGGTGTGGGGCTACCTGGGGCTAGGCAGGAAGACACACCGGTGTCCTGGCCCCGACACTGTGCAGACTAGGGACCTACATGCAGGATGCCACATCTCCTTTCCAGAGGAGACTGAGGTGACCTCCATCTCTCCCTGGTCATGATATGTGCCTCTGGCTTCAGGAACTGGAGGTCTCCCAGCTTTACCAGTCTCTGTGTGGCCACTCTGTCTGCTTTGTCTGGCGGAGCCACTTCCCTCCTCCACCTTTCCCAGCCCAGAACTGCAATTTCTGTCCTCATTTCTGTGTGTGTGTTTTGGAGAAGTCCGTGGGGGATGACGTTTTGCCATTTTGGAGAGCAGGCTTGCTCCTGCAGCCCAGCTCACCGCTCCTGCGTTGTCAAACAAAGGGCTGTAAGTGCTTCAAGCAAGAGGGAGGAGCGTTTGCCAGTTCTTTGGTAGCAAAATGGTTTTAGTTTACATACATTTGAAGAAGATAGTTTTGTGGTTGACAGCCAGAGCTAGAAGCAGCCTGAGGAATGTGTATTTTGTTGTTGTTATTGGATGACTTGATATATGACACACACACAGAGCAGTAATCAACAACTTGAAGTCAGACGCAGTGTGCTTGGAGGAGGGACTCAGAGCTACAGCATCTGGGGACACCCTGAACCCCAGCCTCCTAAAGTTATACAGGGTACCGAAATCCCACTGAAGTCAGTAGCCCTACATAATCTGTGGGGACCTCGCATGAAGATCAACAACTGCAACGTTTTAATTGGTTTTGCTCTTGGTTTCAGTTAAAGGTGGACGGGGCGAGGCCGACCCCAGTAGTCACAAGCTCGATGGACAACCCCATAGGCACGTATGGGCATCCATGGCTGCACATTCCTACTGTATAATAATGTATGCTGTTTCCTCTGTCCTATGTGTTTTAAGAAAAAAAAAACAACAAAAAAATAGACTGTGGCCTGCTTTCCATCTCCCCTTCAGACCAGAGTCAAGTTCTGGAAGCAGCTCAAGTAGCTCTGCCCTTCTTCCCTCAAAGGCCCTTGCCCCAAGACTGGTGGCACAACAAACAAGCCTTTTCTAAAGAAATACAGGCAGCAGAGAGTCTTTTTGCCAGTCCCATCCTTTCACTGGCTTTGAATCCAGAAGGTCTGCTCCCTGAGAGTTGTTCTGCCAAGCCTAAATGAGCTGTGTCAGCTCAGGTTTGGACGCTTTCCCTCTCAGTCCCAGGCATTTTCTTCTGCAATTGTTGTAGGGCACAGGCAAACCAAGCAGCTGCCAGGAGGAGTTGATGGCCAGACCTGCAAAATGGCCCATCACCCCTTTGTCAAGGCTGCAGAGCCAGGTGGTCCATTGTGGCCAAGGCTGCGGTGGTGAGGGCTGTGTTTGCACCTGGAAGTAGAAGCAGCCTCTCCCTGCAGGGCCCCTCATGCCCCATGGAGCTCCCAGGAGCAACCCCTTCTTACCCTCCCCTTTCTGTGGCAGGAGACCTACCAGCTGCCCTCCTTGTTTCTCACTGTCAGAAAAGCCAGTTGAAGCTTTATTTAACTTCTGACCAGCCTTGAGCTTGACATCCCAGTGGGGACATCCTCCCTGTGATGCATCACACTGTGTCTGAAACAGCATTGTGTCTATTGAGACCCCTCTCCTGCCCTGGCTTGCTGGGTGGAGGATGATGGCAGAGGAAGAAAGGTCAAAATGATCAGATGAACAACTTAGATGCAGCCTCATAACACTTCATTTAGGAAAACAGCTGCCTTTTTTCATGTGTGGTCTGAGCAATATGAAAGAAAGGACCAAAGTCCTTGCATGTGGTGGTGCTGGTATGAAAACAGCAATTGGCTGCAAAAGCCTCGCTTGCTCAGGGACCACTGTGTAAGAGTTGGGGAGCAATAGACAGCTGCATCCACCACAAGGTTCCCTGCCCTCCTCATCCTCCAGCTCTCCACGGAGAAGTTGTGGACTCACTTCCCACACCCAAGCAGCTCACTGGTACTGACACATTTGTCCTTTCTGCCCTCGTATCCTGCATCTCAAGGGCTTCCTCCCAACTGAAAATAGAGGGCAAGGGAATGATCTACCTGTCCATCCAAAATTACTTGGGAGAGGAAAAGCCCTTTGTGTGTACTGTGTGTTTTTAGGGTTTCTTTGCATTTGTGTTGCTACCATTACTGGAGGGCCCATTTGAGGGTATATTAGGGGTTGTGGCAACATTTCATAAAAAGGTGGATGTGTCCTGAGGACACGCCCAGGAGTTAATGACAACTGGTACCAATTGACGAGAGCATAGGCAGCAGTTCTAATAAAGTACAGTAAAAAGAACATCTGCCTTTTGGCAGGGGTTTACTGTAAATAAAGGAAGAATCTGTTATCTCTGATTTCTGCACAGTCATTATTTCTTTCACATATCTCAACTGAGAAAACAATTTGAAAGGGGAGGAAGAGCTCACTTCTAGTACTGCAGCTGAAACCCAGCAGTAATAGCAGAAATGGATTTTCTGTCTCCTTAAATTTTAAGGTTAGGACTTCCTACCTTCTCAAAAGTCCAATGCAAATCATTGGACCTATTTGGAATTGCTCGGTCATGGGATAATTTAGGTTGAAAGTGACCTCACCAGGTCTTCTAGTCCAACCCACTGCTCAAAGCAGCACCATCTACATCAGATGGCTCAGAACTGTGTCCAGTCAAGTTCTGAGTATCTCCAAAGGTGGAGGTACCATAGTTTCTCTGGGACACCTATGCCAATATTTTTACCACCCTCAGAATGACTTTTTTTTCCTGACATATAGTCAGAATGTAACAGGTTGCAGCCTGTCTTTTTGCTGTTTTTTAGCAGCTCTGAGAAGAAAGTCTTCTCTATACCTTCTTGTTAGGTAGTTGCAGTCAACTGTAACAGTCATTTTCCCCTCAACAAAGCTCAGCCACTTTTCATATGCCATGCACTCCTGCCCCCTGACCATCTTGGTTTCCCTCTGCTGGACTCTTGTATGCCCAAAGCTGGAAACAATACTTTAGATGTGGTCACACCTGGTTCTGAACAGAGGGTAGGCATCTCTGCCACTGACCTACTGGCTATGCTTTTGTTGACAGAGCCCAGTATGTGGCTGGTCCTCTTTGCAAACTCTTGGCTCATATTCAACCTTCTCTCCAACAAATCACCCAAATCCTTCTCTGCAAAGTTGCCATCTGTCCAGTTAACTCCCAGTCCATACTTGTGCTGGAAGGAGAACAACAGGCTGGAGAAATGCGCCGACAAGAGCCACAAACTTGAACAAAGGCAAAATATATTCAGTTCCTGGCTGAGTTAGGAGCCTCTTTGTCATCTCCAGGCCTTCTATCAGTGTTCTGTGGAAGTGTCCACAACCTCTTTGTCATCTCCAGGCCTTCTATCAGTGTTCTGTAGAAGTGTCCACAACCTCTTTGTCATCTCCAGGCCTTCTATCAGTGTTCTGTGGAAGTGTCCACAACCCTCATTGTCCTCTCACCCTGAAGATCAAATAATTCTGATGCCGGTATGCTAGTTTTGAATTACCGTGTGATGAAGAGTGGAGACGAGGAGCAAATACATGCTAAAAGCAGAGATATACCTGGGAAAAGAAATTAGTTGAGAGTTGTTAGCAAACACACACACACACATGAAATCACTTTGAATGTTCAAAAGAATACATGTTACCTTCCTCAGAGTGAAAGTGAGATTGAACAGTTCTTATATCCATACAGGACAGGAGTCAGTAACACCATATGGTCTTGGTTAAAATTATTTTATATTGTAACAAAAGCAAAACCATCCCACTGAAAGGAGACCTTGGACAAGTTATATGAGTGCTGCTGAGGGAGCGAGAAACCTGAATTTGATTTCCTGACCCACCATAGTGCGAGTCACTTTGTCAAGATACCTTATCTGTGCACTTTAATAGCTTTGAGAATTTAGACTTTGCTTTCTTCAGCCGTAAAATTATGATGTTGGTAATAACACCTCTGTGCTGTGAACTACTTGGATACTGTGCTACCGGTTATCCTATCAATATCATAATATAAATTAAATAGAAATGAAATTGCTTTACTGCAGACTGCTTTATCCTAGTCTAAATGCAGCCCTTAAGATCAATATCTATTTTTGCTCATTTCTAATGTACAATTTCCTATTCTTTAGTTGCTTGGGTTTTTTTTCCTTCTTCCAGTAAATACTTCTGGGAGGGTCACACCTTAGAATCAGTTTCTTTAACTCTGAGGAAAACAGGACTTAACCTGCCACTCCCTGACTTTTTCCACTTTAAGAAGAACT